CTTAACAGCTACGAAGAATAGACCTGAACTTCTTATGACTAACCAAAAGTTTACTCAATTTTGTATTTTGGTACCAGTGGCTACAACTTAAATCAGTTAATATGGCTACAAAACTGTGAATCAGTTCCTAGAGTAAAAAACCCAGCTAACCAAAATCCTTATTCTCTTTATAATCTATGATAAAGACAAAAAATCCCTGAGACAAATTATTGAGACTTGTAAAATCTACCATAATCTCTGAATTGCTAAATCAATGACAACAGATACTAAAATACCACAATCTCATTTTGTAATTTACCTTTAAGCCTGAAGAAAATTCTACCATTTCTTCTGCTTGAACATTCCTCAGCCCATGTACTCGGGCAATACCATCACCAATACTTAAGACACGCCCAGTCTCTTCAAGGTCAACAGAGGTATCAGCTCCAAGAATACGCTCTTCAAGAATAGATGACATCTCGGCAGTGCCTATTGAGGACAATTCAATTTAAACTTCAGGTTCTATAGTCTTCTACATCAAGTGGCTGACAAAGTGTAAGTAACTTTCCTTTTAAAGGTACCCAGGTAATACTTAATATGTGGGCAACATATACTATGCTGTGTTCCTGAGTTCACGTAGTATATACAAAAATAAACACATATAGTGTATCTGACCTTTACTTAAAAAGCCCTAATACGCATCTCAAAAGAAATTCCTCAATCTACACTTTCTTCCTATGCTCACGTTCTTCCCATTTTGTCACATCTATAATTCACAGATTACCAGGCATACAGTAGTAACTACTGCCTTTGGAAAAAAAAAATCTACTGGTATAAATTGCTTACTTCTTTACTAATGCTTTGTAGAAGCAAAAAGAAAATCTTTCAGAGGCCGAAAAGATTCTACTACCTAGTATGAATATTTTGCTTGATCCAAGAGGCATTATCAAAACAAAAAAGCTGTGCTAATATCATAAAAGAGATGCATAACTAGTTCATTTCACTAGGGAACCTACACAGACAGAGCTAAATGGCCAACTATGGTTTAGGAACCTGAGATTCTGTAGAAACTAAAAATGAGAAAAAACTAACAAATGAAAAATCCACAACAATTATTAAAATATGTAATTTATGTCTTCATTTAATGATAAGGTGATAAGTGTGCTATAGACTGAGAAACGACTCACCAGTCTTCTGAAGATGAGTGTGAGAGGCATGGAGGTTCCTTGCAGCAATGAAAGATGAACCCAAAGCATTTCTGGAGACCTAGTGCAAAAATATTCAATAAAATTTGATTTCAAAGAAAGCCTTCATAAAACTGACAAGCTTAAACGAACACTGACTTAGTCTGATCAAATTACTGATAAAATTATTAATTATAGGCTGGCGCAGTGTCTCACGCCTATAATCCAGCACTCTGGGAGACTGAGGCAGGTGGATTGCCTGAGCTCACAGGTTCCAGACTAGCCTGAGCAAGAGCAAGACCCTGTCTCTAAAAAAAGCCAGGTGTTGTGGCAGGTGCCTGCAGCTATTTAGGAGGCAGAGGCAAGAAAATCACTTGAGCCCAAGAGTTTGAGGTTGATGTGAGCTATGACTCCAGGGCTCTACTGAGGGGAACAAAGTGAGATCTGTCTTA